ACGCTTACTTTGATCACTCCTATACAAACTGGATCTTGATCTTTATTATCATCCTCAAAAAACGATGATTCGTTATCGTTGTTGTATGTGAAATTGAAATATTATGGAGTGGGGTGAAATTCTGATTGGCTAAGTTGAATTTCACACACGTAAATTTGAATTTCACATATGTGAATTGCGAATTCACATAATTTCATTTTCACGTACAACATCGTCATTGCTACTAATTATATAATATAATTAATTGATGGATCTTCGTACATCATGTAACCAATCAAAATCAATTAACGAATTTTATCTTTTTAAATGTTTCCTTCCAACTAAATAAAATAAATAATAAAAATTAACAAAAAGAGGGGTCATGTCACGAAGGGTCAATACACCCAACATGAGCCACCCACGTGAGTTCCACTCTCAGCCATGCGGGACTTTGCAGCTGGTCCAAAGTGAGGCATACACCTAAGGGAGCCAGACACAGAGTGTCCATAATGGGTACTTCATTATTGTATGACTTTTCTCCAGACGATTGGTTATTGTTAAACCAATTCTATGGCTTATATACCAACTTCTTTCAAGTTGTGCAAAATATGGGATACCAACCAGTTTACAACATTTCATTGGATAAATTTTATCCCATAATTTTTTATTGCGTAATCTAAAAAAAATAAAATTCAATAGAAAAAGTAGACTGTCAAATACAAGATGTATGGTGTAGGACACCTAATCATTACAACTTTTATTGGTCTTGCAGATATTTTAACTCCTCCAAAAATGGAAAGGTGTGACCAAAAAAACAAGATGTCATTTTGAAGTTCTAGAAAATGACATTTTCATTTTGTTGATCTGTCATGTGACATATTAATATATATATGATTGTTACATACTTTAAAAAACAGATTAATTATCTAATATAAACTTATTATCTTTGATCTATATACATATAATTAAAATTTATTTTTGACAATCTTCATAAAACACGTGACTGTAAAAATTTTATGCATTTTTGATTGGGAATTTTTTCTCAAATCTGTCGCCGTGGCGCAGAAAGTTGTAGGGACTAGGTGTCCTGCACCATACGAAGCTTCCAAAGCAAGTTTGTAAAATATACTGATGAATGCTTATCAATTATTAAATTTTGCAAATGAATGTTTCATCAATTATTGAATAGCTTTGTATCCAAGTAAGTGCTAAAATCAAGATCTATGAAGCTGTTTGTAAAAATATATTTAATGAGTGCTTTATCAATTATTCAAATAATTATATAGACAGGCTTGATCGAAGTAAGTGCTAAAGTCAAGTTCTACTTGCAAATCAAGTTTTCCAAAATGGACGTTTTATTATTATAGGCGAGTTTGATCGAAGTAAGTGTCAAAGTCCAGATCTACAAAGCCGTCTGTAAAATATATGTAACAAACGTTTTATTATTATCAATTATTCAATAATTATATAGACGGGTTTGATCAAAGTAAGTGTCAGTCAAGATCTATGAAACTTGCAAAACGAATGTTTATCAATAATTATATAGGCGGGATTGATCGAAGTAAGCGTTAGTCAAGATCTATGAAGCATGCAAAACGAATGTTTATCAATTATTCAATAATTATATAGGCGGGATTGATCGAAGTAAGTGTTAAAGACAATTTATACATTTTATTTATTATTTATTATATATAAATAAAACAATAATTAATGAAAATTTAATCAATATAAAGTCAGAAACATAAAACAATCACTAATAAAATACCTTTTAGTTTTTGATAAAATTCTTCAAGACTATTAAATTTCTATAAAATAGTTTTCGTGAACCTCTCTAAAACTTATTAACCAATACCCCCCTCATAAATTAATGACCATATGAAAGCTTAAAGTATTCTACACCTTCTCATTTACTATCAAGTCTTTTAAAGCGATATTGAGAAATAATCTGAGCTTTGAAGTGAAAAAGTAATGCCGTTTTTGAATAGCCGTGAATTCATGTAGAGAAGACCTTTCGATATGAAAGAGTATTCATTAGAAAGTTTTATGGGTACTTTCATTTTGCTCTAACAACAAAGTTCGAGTTTATTATAAAAATAACGAGATATTTTAAAAAAACTTCATGTGACATGAGTTTCGAATTTATTTTCACAAATAGAAAAGCAAGCCTCAAGGTTATGTCACACACACGACTACTACTATTATATACTGCTACGTAAAAAAAAAATACCATATATGTTTATCTGCGGATCGTCAATTTAAAACATGTAGTCAGCTTTGATAGTTACCCTTTTTTCTAAAAAAGGAACCAGTGTATCGAAAAACTTGTTATATGGGAACAGTTTTAGAACTAGTGAAAATATTATTTTTCGTCAAGAGGCGTTCATAGAATATGCTACGGAGAGAATATTATTGTTTTTTGGAAGTTGTATGTAATAAGTGATTATGGCAATAATTACGGACTCTTAATATATTATGTATTAAGCCAGAGTTCAATTAATTACGGAGATAATTTTGGGAACAATTATAATTATGACATTACAGATATGACAACAATCATTTATTAATCTACCAAGATAAAACGAATCGAAAAAACCAAGCTATTAGCAGACGGCTTAGGAATTCCAGACGGAACATTGGGATTTTTTGCTGGATGGCTCCAAAAATTTAAAGAATTCGTCAACAAAAGCTTTCATGGAGAAACATCTTCGGCTAATCTAGTAGTCGCTACCGATGCCTTACCACTATTGAAAAGTAAATGTGAATGCTTTTTTACTGCAACAAGAAAATTCTAAAGAACAATTGAAACAAGTTAATGCCCTTGAGCGATACATTAATGTTATTATTCACTTGAAAGAATATACAATATGGATGAAACAGGTCTTCTTTTACAGATTAGAGCCAGACAGATCATTGGCCACACAGAGACTTTCTGGCCGTAAAAAAAAAATAAAGGCTTGTGTGCAAATGCTGATGGATCTCGTAAATTATAATTGGAAACCACGATGCTTTACTAATATTAATCTTAAAAACTTATTAATGACATATCGTAATAATAAAAAGGCTTGGATGTTGACTACTATTTTTCAAGACCGACTCCAAGAATTTGATAAAGTAGTTGCTAAAAAATATAGAGACCAGCAGGGTATTACTGCTCTTTGATAATAGCCCAAGCCACAAGACATATGGTTTAGTTTTTTCGAACGTTGATGTTCATTTTCTCCATCCCCAAATACCACTTCAAAAATCTAACCAATGGATGCTGGGGTTATCATAATTTGCATATTAAATGGATCCTAGATCAAGTTCAAGAAGGAAAATGATACAAAAGATTTAAAAGCGGATGTATTGCGGGATATGCTGTATTTTTAAAAGTTGGAAGAAATCACACCTTCCACCATCCATAATTGTTGGAGTCATACTAAAAATCTCCTGGATACCATGAATGTTGAATTATCGAGCCTCTTTAGCAAGCGCCAACATTAAATGAACTTACTCAGATGCTTACAACTCTAAACCTATCTAATCAAATGCAAATTGAAGAATTTTAAATGATCCAGAAGAAGAGTCAATTTATGAAGAACTTGTTGAAATATATAAAAAACAACCAAAATTACCTGCTGATAATGAAGATGATGATAGCAAGAAAGTTCCTAAAACAAGTTAATGCAGTTTATTGATATATTAAATTTAAAAAAAAAAAAATTCAATCAATTTTACAATAAATTTTTTATTAGTGTCACGTGTAACCAATAAAATTCTTCTCAGGGTTCATTGTATAACCATGGTTACTATGAATAAATGAATAAAATGAAATTTAGTTAATACTTTATTATTATGATCTTGATAAAACTCCATATATCGCGGAATTTTTTTTAAAAAAAGGGTGCATGTGCTACATTCGACCATTACAAATCTTGGTTAACGCCGATCATTTGAATCAAACAGTTGTTTGCCCTTTTTAAAAAAAGAATATAATAATGACGTTGTATTATGTTTTAGTTTTCGTTTTGCTTATTCTAGAGGTAATTTAACTAGTATTGATTGATATTAATATTATATTTTCATTATTACCAAGGGAGAAAATATTAACATATCTCTCTGAATATTTAGGCAGTATCATTCGTAGTGTTAATTGTAAGTATACATTATTTTTTAATTTTTTACTACAAGTAATTAATTATTATTAATGATTTGTTGGGTTTTAACAAATTATTCTAAAAGTTACCTTTTCCTCGCAAATGGAGACGTGCAGTATTGCGTTGGATATCAGAATCAGAATTGGCAAGCTTTATTTAATATCATTCAACATTTATTTATTTTTCTTGCAAAGAAATTTATAACTTTCGTATATTTTACTTTCTAGGTTTCAAAAACACATTTGACCTTTAAATTTGCATTTGTGTAAGGTTTTTTCTTTTTGTTTATAAAATATATATGGTATAAAGTATAGATTTATACCAAATTATTGAATATATTTATTTATTTTTAGTTTTGTTGGGATCCTATTCCTAGGTAATATAATGATAATATAACTAGAATTATAAGATTATGGTTTTATTATTATCAATGTTTTTCACTCGTTCTATATTTTTCTTTTGATAAGATGCGTGTAATCGCAGTTTCTCTCCGCATAATACCCAAGAACATTCTGATGCAATAACTGAAGCTTCACATGCAGCAAAAAGATTCTACAATCAGCGTAATATGTAAGATATCAATAATATATACACATAATAGTTACATTGTTAAAATATATATTAATATATATATCAAATTCAATATATGTATTTCTATTAGGTATCTCACTGGATTTACACTCTTCTTAAGTTTGTAAGTATAATAAATTATAAATATTTATTGTATTGCATAATTAGATTTTGTCTAATCCTCTCTTATTATTATTAAAAATATTAAAAAAGAATTTTGAATAGAACATACATGTCAGTTTTAGATCTACTGAAAATTGAAGATCAATTAGATGCTATTAAAAAAGAGGTATTTGAGAAAAAAATAAGAATTAATTATTGCCGAGTTGAATAAACTTTATCAAAATAAAGATCAACATTGCTTTCCAACCGTTCTACACGAATAAAAAGTTTACCTAAAAGATTGTAAATATCTTCATTACTAATACTACTATTACTAATATTACTACTATTATAATTGTAATGACCGTTATCGAAAGCATTATTTTGTGGTAAATTGTTGCTTGCAAAAATTCTTTGGTTCTTACTTTCTTCAATTTGATTAATACGTTTTTCAAGACGAGTCAAAAGCCAAGTAATATTATTATTGTTTTCACAATAAAAAGAAGAAGGATCATTTAATAATGGGGTCAAGACTAAAGAGTTCATGTTGTTATTGTCAGCAATGGTAGTTGTAGCACCAACGTTTGCAGTAGTAGCAGAAATGATATTTTGATAATTTGGAAATGTTTCAGTATTTTGTTGTTGTTGCGCTTGTGGTGGTGGTGGTGGAAATTGTTGCATGATAACATTGTCATGTTCTAAATATTGATTTGGATTATGATGATAAATGCTATCATCTAAATTGATTTCATTGGAATGTTGATGAAAATTATTTGTTAAAGGAGGTATAGAGAAATCATTCTGATTATTAGTTGGAGGAAGCACAGAGAATTTATTTTGTTCGTATGTTAAATCAGAAGGATCTCTATTATAATTATAATCACTCATGCTTGTAATAAATAATGATTTTATGATATTCGATTTTATATGTTTTTTATTTTTTATTTTTTCTCAAATAATTTTCAAAAAACAAAATCCATCCGTTATTTATATGTATTTCATATGTTCACGAATTCTATTTTATCTAGAGATGGGTAAATGTGCGATAATAATAAGTATAGTGCGTATAGTAATGTTGAATTTGATTGGGTGATTTTCAAATGTAATACAAATTGAATTCTAAGAAAATGATTTGAGTTGTGGAATTTGGACAAAGGCGTAAATGTTATTCCATATCCTCAAGTTCAAGAAGGAAAATGATACAAAAGATTTAAAAGCGGATGTATTGCGGGATATGCTGTATTTTTAAAAGTTGGAAGAAATCACACCTTCCACCATCCATAATTGTTGGAGTCATACTAAAAATCTCCTGGATACCATGAATGTTGAATTATCGAGCCTCTTTAGCAAGCGCCAACATTAAATGAACTTACTCAGATGCTTACAACTCTAAACCTATCTAATCAAATGCAAATTGAAGAATTTTAAATGATCCAGAAGAAGAGTCAATTTATGAAGAACTTGTTGAAATATATAAAAAACAACCAGAAGCACCTGCTGATATTAATGAAGAAGATGATAGTGCTGAGCCAGTAATAATAAGTGCGAATGAAGCTTCAAAAGGCTTGGAAATTGTCTATGCTTTTTTACTGCAACAAGAAAATTCTAAAGAACAATTGAAACAAGTTAATGCTCTTGAGTGATACATTAATTTAAAAAAATTCAATTCAATGAAGCAAACCACAATGAATCAATTTTTTAGTCAACAATAATATTATTATGTAATTAATATATAATAAAAAATATTTAATTGAAATGTCAATCAATTTATTATAAAAATGCGGGGGAAATTTCATATTAAATGATCGGCAAAAAAATCAAAAAATCATTAATATTTCGAGTAAAAAATAAAAAAAAAAAACTATAGTATATATTAATAATTGCATTCATAGTTTTTTATTTAACAATAAACTCAAAAATAATAAAAGGGCTTGTTTTCCATTGTATTCAATCTCCCATCCAGGAGCATGTTACGAGATTGTTTGCTAACAACCACGCAAATACACTACCCAACAAGACCTGTTTAACAAAGGCAATATTATTCTATAAACATAAAAAAAAATCACTAATTTTACTTTTATGGTTAAATCAACAAACAAAATTTATGCAATAATCTTTGTTTTAAAAAGAATAACTAACCCATGAGAATTATAAGCAAAAAACCATTCCTTTGTCTAAATAAACAAAGAAAAAAAAATGAAATTTATTATTCATTTGTTTTCGTTTTTCCTCTGCTTTTCAAACTTTTGATAATGAATATCAAAACCTTGCATTTAACCAAAAAAATAATGCTTACCTTCAAGAGCAAAGTCTTTTATTTATCAATATAAATAGTATTTCTGTTCATTAATCCCCTTTTTGAATAATCAAATATCAAAAAGAATTATGACT